CAGACACGCTGTGCCATTGGTTGAGGTGGTGGGGTAACTACAGGAACCAGACCCTGGACCCATTAACGCTCAACACAATCCAGGTGCCATTCAGACCCGACACCAAGTAATTGCAACAATATAAAAAAGGTAAAGGAGACAATGTTTACTTTTTAACCAATTCTTTTAATGATTGACTGATGCTGGTGAGTGCGTCGGTGATATTACTCAAGGGGCTGTTAATTTCACCGATGCCTCTTATTATTTCTTTTTGGGACTCAAGCACAGCACTTGTGAGGACACGGCCGGTTGGATGGGACCCAGCATCGGGGGGAGCGCAGGAAGTGCCCCTGGAGACCCCAGCCTGCACAGGAGATTCTAAGGTGGTGCGTGGGGTGGCCGTGGACTGTACTGGGGTGGAGTGGGTGCCACCTGATGCTCCACTGTCTGTGTGGAAAATGAAAAATAAAATATACCAAAGAAAACAAGTCAGTGTGTGTTTCTTATGGCGTAAATTGGCATAATTGTCTTCAAACGTAAAAACCATGCAGGGTGCTGGGTGGGTATTAATCAAAATCTATAAAAGCAAATGGTTACTAAGTGTAGGAAAGTTAATCCAAAAATGTTTACATTATTTACCTTCATTGGGATCCCGGGTGAACTCGGTGTCTCCTTCACCCGCTGACACCACACTGGAGAGGACCGTGTCGCCCAGAATCGCCGCCACTCTATGGTCAAATGGGGTCAGCTCCTCCACCCCGGTTCCACCACCTGTGGCCTGAAGGCTCTGGCGATGGGCAGATGTCCGCCACTTCACCTCCATCTTCACATCTGACCATTTCTTTTTCAGCTCCGCTGCGGTTCTCCGACGTTACAGAGTTTACTGCCTGTGCCACGCTTTCCCATTCTGTTTTTTTTCTTTTGGTGTTAATGCCGGACGATAGAGAGCCAAATAAAACAATTTTTTTGGCCTCTACCTCCGTCAGCAGCACCTCCAACTCACACTCCGTTAAAATTTATTTTTTTCCTTGCTTTTGCCATTTTCCTAAAGACAGCACTATCTAGGGTTATTTATACTAATTAGCATATTCAAATCAGTGTATTTGAGGGAGGGGACAGGGTGGAGCGTTGTGCTCGTGAATGTGCGCTCAATTTCACGTTGATTGCGATGTACAAAGACTGTGTGTGGGATTCTGCGTACGCACGTTTTGATACATCTGAATTTTTTAGTGCATACGGAACTTTCACTCTTTCAGTGTACACCACATTCTAGTAGGAAATCCACGCAAGTCTTAGTACATGAGGCCCCAGGTCTAGACCGAACTCCTTATAACATTATTTACAGAGACCCAACAGTTCCACCATGAGCAAGACCTTGGAGACAGTGGCAAGGAAACACTTCCTTTAAGAGGCAGAAACATAGGACAGACCCTTCAGCTCTATGTGGGTGGGAGAGGGAGACAGAGAGACAGAGAGAGAGAGAGAGAGAGAGAGAGAGAGAGAGAGAGAGAGACGAAATGATCAAATACTCAGACCATAAAATCAGATTGGCTATACTAAAACTATTCAATACTATTCTGTCAACTGGAGCTTTTCCAGACAACAAAGGTTTAATAACCCCAATTCATAAATCCGGAAATAAATATGATCCAAATAACTACAGAGGAATATGTGACCCAGTAACCTGGGAAATATATTCTGCAACATCATTAATAAACGACTTGTCAACTTTCTTGATGACCACAATGTTCTGCATAAATGCCAAATTGGTTTCTTGCCAAATTGCCGCACAACGGACCATATATTTACCCTCCAGACTTTAATTGATCAAGAATTAAAAATTAAGAAAAGAAAGGTATATGCATGTTTCGTTGACTTCAAAAAAGCCTGATTCCATCTGGCACGAGGGCCTTTTCTATAGGCTACTTGAAAGTGGCATTGGAGGAAAAACATATGATCTGATTAAGAACATGTATACAAAAAGTGAATTTACCGTAAAGATTGGAAACAAACAAACAGCGTTCTTCTCCCAGGGCCGGGGAGTCAGGCAGGGATGCAATCTCAGTCCAATTCTCTTCAATCTATATATCAATGAATTAGCGAACCAACTAGAGCGTTCCAAGGCACCTGGCCTCACCCTGAACGACACAGAGATCAGAGGTCTGCTATATGCAGATGACTTAGTGTTGCTTTCACCTACTAAAGAAGGTTTGCAGCAGCACCTTAATCTCCTGCAGAGATTTTGTCAGACCTGGGCCCTGACAGTAAACACAGCAAAGACTAAGATAATGATCTTTCAGAAACAATACAGAAATCAGGTTACACACAATTTCTATTTAGACACCACTAAATTACAACATACAAAAAACTACACTTACCTTGGCCTCAACATTACATACACAGGAAACCTCAACATGGCTGTGAAAGATCTGAGGGACAAAGCAAGGAGAGCTTTCTATGCAATAAAGAGAAACATTAAAATCTATATTCCAATCCAAATCTGGCTTAAAATTTTCCAATTTGTACTAGAACCAATAATTCTACATGGCAGCGAAATTTGGGGACCAAAACTAAATAATGAATTTGACAAATGGGACAAAACAATCATAGAATCTTTCCACAGTGAGTTCTGTAAGAGCATCCTGCAGGTGCAGAGAAAAACACCAAATAATCTGTGCAGAGCAGAGCTCGGTCAATACCCCCTCCTACTAAAAATACAGAAAAGATCAAGTAAATTTTACAATCACTAAAAATCAGTTAACCCCCAGACATACCATCACAAAGCCCTAACATACCAGGAGCTGAAACCAGAGAAGAGTCCCCTCAGCCAGCTGGTCCTGAGGCTATCTGCAGTAACATGTCCCCAACAGCCTCAGGACAGCAACACCAACTCAATCAGACCAAACCAAATTATCAACAAGCAAAAAGAAAATATATTGAACACTGGAAAGAAACGACCAAAACACAAAGTAAATTACAATGTTATCTGACCCTAAAAAGAGAATTCACACTGGCAAATTACCTGAGCACAATAAAATGTCCTAAACTAAGAACAATGTTGACAATGTACAGACTGAGTGAACACAGCCTGGCCATAGAAACGGGTCGCCACAGACAGAACTGGCTACCAGAAGAGGAGAGACTCTGCTCCCAGTGTGACAGAGGACAGGTAGAGACAGAGCTGCACTTTCTAACCTCATGCCCTAAATTCAAAACTTTAAGAGAAAAACAATTCGCAAACATTTCCCAAATATTCCCCAATTTTTAATTTATATCAGACACACAGAAACTCCCCTATTTACTGGGCACCCGATCTGACTGTTGTCATACCATTGAATAAGCGTATCCTGATACAATCATCCCACAGAAAGTCAAATTATTGCAGCAAAATATGTCTCCTCATGCCACCAACTGAGGACGACCAGTGGAAACTCAGATAAATGTATAAAATAATTGATTGTTTTAGTTGTTGTTTTTTTGTTGTTTTTTAATATATATATATATACACACATATACACACACGTTTACAATTTTATCTAACTATTTTATTTTAATTTTAATATTATATATTATATTTAATAATTTGTTATTACTGTTATATTGACAACAGACTACTTGTTTTAACTGTAGTTACTTTACTATTGTTTTAATGACATTTTTAGTTGGCTCAAACTGATTGATTGATTCATTCATTGTAATTAATTACTTATTGACTGAGATTGATTGTGACTGTGATTGTGATTGAGTCAATCATAGTGACAGTATTACCAACAGTATAGATTATAACTAATTTATTGTAAATATTGTTTTCCTTTATTGTTATTATTATTATTTTTAATTCCAAACGCTTGCTTTGTCAATATGTACAGTGTTACGTCATACAGAGAGAGAGAGAGAGAGAGAGACAGAGAGAGAGAGAGAGAGAGAAAGAGAGAGAGAGAGAGAGAGAGAGAGAGACAGAGAGAGAGAGAGACAGAGAAAGAGAGAGAGAAAGTTTTTGTTAAAAGTTGGGAGACTTTTAATCTCTAAACTAAAAACTAAAACTTGATGTGAACATTTTAGATGACTGAAATAAAAATAAAAACAGACGAACTATAAAACTGTGAACTTCCACTGAAACTAATAACAACATGTCCAAACAATAAAAAAGAGGAAATCCTCTAATGTTAAAAACTTAAGTAGAATAACGGCTATAAACGTCTTATATGACGAGTTGTGTCAAAGAACCGACTTTAGATATACTTTACATTATATATATTATATACTTTATGTTTATAATATATATCTATACTTTATATTATATACTTTATGTTTATAATATATATCTATACTTTATATTATATATATATTATATACTTTATGTTCATAATATATATACTTTATGTTTATTATATATATTCTTTATGTTTATAATTATACAGAAAGTCACACATGCAAAATAAAGCTGTTAAAGTCTCTGAACTGTCCAGGAAGTCTTTAATATGAAGGAATGTATTTATCATTATGCACAAGGTTTCCTTAGTGATTATCATTAATAATTAAAGGTAAATGTTTAATAGTGCAGTCTGGTCTGACTCTGGAGGTTGTTGCAGGTCTCGTTGGACGTCAGGCTGCTGTTTGTCACCTGAACAGTGACCGTCTGTCCGTCTGCACCTACAGACGTCCAGCTGCTGCCAATGAACGCCGTCAGCTGATCGTCCTCCACTGAGACTCTACAGTCCACTGATGTGGAGACTTGACTCACGTCTGCAAACAAACAGTGACACAAAGTTCAGATCAGCTCTTTAAATACCAATAAATGATCGTCCCGTACTGATATTATAAGGTTTTATATGAGAAATGAAACATTATATTCTCTATATACAGAGTCACATGGTGTCTCTCTCCCTCTGCCTGTGTTGTATCGCAGCCTCTCTGTGGTTTGTTTCCATAGCCGGTCTGCTCCGACTGAAACTGCTGTTTTTATCATCTACGTCGGTGAATTAAGGATTTATTTCCACCAAACCAGAGTTGCTGATTGTTGGAAACACTAACAGAGACGCTTTTAATGAGTTTTATTCTGTTTCTGTCCACTTTAATGAAGTTACGATGATCTGAAGGTAAAATGAGTGTTTGTGTCTCTGGAGTCTGGTGGAGAGTGATAGTGATATTACGGCTGTTTGTGGTTAAACAGAAGGTCTGTAATGTACACCGGCTGTGATTGGCTGTGGCTCAGGATCGGTTCTTACCGACAACAAACAGCAGGTTGTGGTTGCTGGGCTCGGAGCGGATGTCTCGTCCTCTGTATGGATCGTATCTGCAGGTCATGTTGACAGGAAGTAGCAGGGTGCTCTTCTCCCAGATGGCGAGCTGCTTGCCAGTCAGGTTCCTGCTGCAGGACCCCTCTGCAACGGGCACCTCACCTCTGTAGAAGTGACAGCTGAAGACAGGGCGGAGTGGCGGAGAACAGGTGACCTCCACACTGTCGTCAGGTGAGACGAAGCGGCGACTGACAGAGAGACGAGGACTGGGACTGCTGCCTGGAGGAGAGACCACCAACCGAAGGGGGTCAGAACAGAACCAGGGACTGAAGCTCTTTACCTCACACAGTTAAAGTCAGTTCAGTTGAACAGGGAACGCTGATAACTGAGAACCTCTGAGAGGTTTCTCATCTACAAAATGAAGAGCACTGCATTGTGCCCCGCCCCATTTCGCTTTGTGCTCCAATCACAGTGGAGCATGCCTCTGTCAACTTCCTCCTTTCCTGTACTTAGATATACTATAAGCTAGGCTAATCTATGCTGAAAACACAACCACATTCTGAAGATGGTTAAAGAATAAAAGAGACATATAGTCACATCTTAGGTTGGCTAATGCTAGAAAACGTCCCCATACATGTAAACAGGAAGTATAATGTTTCCATGGATTCAGTGACGGTGAGCTACAGCTACACTAATTCTAATAATAAAGTCAGCAGGTGTGTTGTTGTGTCACCCACTTCCTGTTTGCTCAGGTAGAAACAAGAACAACAGGAAGTAGAACTCTCACCCCAGACGGTCACTCCCTTGGTGTCACTGGACTCTGAGGTGTACTGCTGCAGGCGGTAGTCACACCTGAGGAAGACCCGGCTGCCCACCAGGTGTCTCCCCAGCAGCTCCCGAGAGGTGAGCCGGAACAAGCACAGGTAGCTGGTGGCGGTCTGCAGCCTGAACGGCGTCTGAGAGTCTTCTCTGAACAGACGACAGGCTCCTCCAGTGTAATCCACAGGAACTATACAGGTAACCTCCAACACCTGTCCGTCCTCCATCTCTGAGCTCACTATCAGCTTGGGTTTATCTGTACAGGACACAGAGTACTACAGTGCTACAGTGCTACAGTACTACAGTGCTACAGTGCTACAGTGCTACAGTACTACAGTGCTACAGTACTACAGTGCTACAGTACTACAGTACTACAGTGCTACAGTACTACAGTGCTACAGTACTACAGTGCTACAGTACTACAGTACTACAGTGCTACAGTACTACAGTGCTACACAGAGTACTACAGTGCTACAGTACTACAGTGCTACAGTACTACAGTGCTACAGTGCTACAGTACTACAGTGCTACAGTACTACAGTGCTACAGTACTACAGTGCTACACAGAGTACTACAGTGCTACAGTACTACACAGAGTACTACAGTGCTACAGTACTACAGTGCTACAGTACTACAGTGCTACACAGAGTACTACAGTACTACACAGAGTACTACAGTGCTACAGTACTACAGTGCTACAGTGCTACAGTACTACAGTATTACACAGAGTACTACAGTACTACAGTGCTACAGTACTACAGTACTACACAGAGTACTACAGTGCTACAGTACTACAGTGCTACAGTACTACAGTACTACAGTACTACACAGAGTACTACAGTACTACAGTGCTACAGTACTACACAGAGTACTACAGTACTACAGTACTACAGTGCTACACAGAGTACTACAGTACTACAGTACTACAGTACTACACAGAGTACTACAGTACTACAGTGCTACAGTACTACACAGAGTACTACAGTGCTACAGTACTACAGTGCTACACAGAGTACTACAGTACTACACAGAGTACTACAGTGCTACAGTACTACAGTACTACAGTGCTACGGTACTACAGTGCTACAGTACTACAGTACTACAGTACTACACAGAGTACTACAGTGCTACAGTACTACAGTACTACACAGAGTACTACAGTACTTATACTGCACAGAGTACTACAGTACTACACAGAGTACTACAGTGCTACGGTACTACAGTGCTACGGTACTACAGTACTACAGTACTACACAGAGTACTACAGTACTACAGTGCTACAGTACTACAGTACTACAGTGCTACAGTACTACACAGAGTACTACAGTGCTACAGTACTACAGTGCTACAGTGCTACACAGAGTACTACAGTACTACACAGAGTACTACAGTGCTACAGTACTACAGTACTACAGTGCTACAGTACTACAGTACTACACAGAGTACTACAGTGCTACAGTACTACAGTACTACACAGAGTACTACAGTACTTATACTGCACAGAGTACTACAGTACTACAGTACTACAGTACTACACAGAGTACTACAGTGCTACAGTACTACACAGAGTACTACAGTACTACAGTACTACAGTACTTATACTGCACAGAGTACTACAGTACTTATACTACATAGAGTACTACAGTACTACAGTACTTGTACTGCACAGAGTACTACAGTACTACACAGAGTAATACAGTACTTATACTACACAGAGTACTACAGTACTACACAGAGTAATACAGTACTTATACTACACAGAGTACTACAGTTCTACAGTACTACAGTACTTATACTGCACAGAATACTACAGTACTACACAGAGTACTACAGTACTTATACTACACAGAGTACTACAGTACTACAGTACTTATACTGCATAGAGTACTACAGTACTACAGTACTACACAGAGTACAACAGAGTACTACAGTAGGACTCACTGCAGTATAAGTACTACAAGGAGCAGACGCATTACTCACTGCAGTATAAGTACTACAAGGAGCAGACGCAGTACTACAAGGAGCAGACGCAGTACTCACTGCTGTATAAGTACTACAAGGAGCAGACGCAGTACTCACTGCAGTATAAGTACTACAAGGAGCAGACGCAGTACTCACTGCAGTATAAGTACTACAAGGAGCAGACACAGTACTCACTGCTGTATAAGTACTACAAGGAGCAGACGCAGTACTCACTGCAGTATAAGTACTACAAGGAGCAGACGCAGTACTACAAGGAGCAGACGCAGTACTCACTGCAGTATAAGTACTACAAGGAGCAGACGCAGTACTCACTGCAGTATAAGTACTACAAGGAGCAGACGCAGTACTCACTGCAGTATAAGTACTACAAGGAGCAGACACAGTACTCACTGCTGTATAAGTACTACAAGGAGCAGACGCAGTACTCACTGCAGTATAAGTACTACAAGGAGCAGACGCAGTACTACAAGGAGCAGACGCAGTACTCACTGCAGTATAAGTACTACAAGGAGCAGACGCAGTACTCACTGCTGTATGTCGTCCTGGCAGCAGCCGTCCAAACTGTCGACCAATCAGAGACAAACAGGAAGTCAGTGAGATATTACTGATTAATAAAGGTATTATTGTGCTGTTATTGAACTCACAGCAGAGACTAAAGACCAGAATCAGGTCCATTATCAGGTCCTCTTGAAGTCCAGATGGTGTCTGACAGACTGACGACCTCTGACTGGTTTACTCATTAACTCTTTGTTTACTGTGTGAGAGTCAGTTCGGTTATTGATCTGTGAACTGAATCCTCCTCAGAGCTGTATGAGCTGAGTCCAGTGCTGACACAGAGTGACAATCTGGGACGTTTCTATAAAACCAGAGTTAACTTCCTTTAATCAGAGGAGGGCGGCCTACCTCCCCCATCTCACCCAGCCTCCCCCACCTCCCCCAGCATCCCACAACTCCCCCAGCCTCCTTAGAGCTATATGCAGTACTATATGAGCTGTATGTAGTGCTATATGAGCTGTATGTAGTACTATATGAGCTGTATGTAGTGCTATATGAGCTGTATGTAGTGCTATATGAGCTGTATGTAGTGCTATATGAGCTGTATGCAGTGCTATATGGGCTGTATGTAGTACTATATGAGCTGTATGCAGTATTATATGAGCTGTATGCAGAATTATATGAGCTGTATGTAGTGCTATATGAGCTGTATGTAGTGCTATATGAGCTGTATGTATTGCTATATGAGCTGTATGCAGTGCTATATGAGCTGTATGCAGTACTATATGAGCTGTATGCAGTATTATATGAGCTGTATGCAGAATTATATGAGCTGTATGCAGTATTATATGAGCTGTATGCAGTATTATATGAGCTGTATGCAGTATTATATGAGCTGTATGTAGAATTATATGAGCTGTATGCAGTATTATATGAGCTGTATGCAGTATTATATGAGCTGTATGCAGAATTATATGAGCTGTATGCAGAATTATATGAGCTGTATAAGTACTGCAGTACTCTTCCTCCTCTTTGTACTCTACTTGAATATTTCCATTTAATGTTACTCTATAGAATGTAGCTTTTTCTACTTATTATCATTATTATTAGGCCTATTATTTATTAATTATTATTATTACTTATTATATATTTTTATCTTTTATTGTTTCTGATGAAAACAGATTTTCGGTGTCTCTATTTGTGTCTTTATTAATCGCTTACAACAAACCAACATTCGGGAGTTAAACAGTGCGCACTCACAGACAAACTGAAATTATTGTATTAATTAATCGATCAGCTGGACAGAAGATGGTCACCATGGTAACAGAGTCTGATCCATACGGAATCCCGTTACTGCCAAAAGGTAAATACGATGGTGAGAAAATTATCAACTTAAAATGTGAATTTTCTTTGTGAGGTTCTGAACAGAAACATAGAAAATAAAAATAAAAATTGTGATACTTCATGAAGGTCCATTCAGTGGCCATCCTGGAGCTTTCAGTCATATCACATGATCTTCATGGGTTTATCCCAAAAAAATTGAGATATTTAAATTTTATTATGAGAAATTAAAGGACTCAAAACTTATTTTTGATCTGCAAATCTGCTGATGAAGATCATGTGATGATGCTCAAAGGTTCCAGAACAGATATTAAATGGACCTTGTGGGGAGAAAACGTCAGAAATTAACGTTGAATCTTAAACATGATCAATGTTTCATGTTTTAATTGTTCCTTAATAGATTTTTTAATGTTATTTTTTTGTTCGTTTCTTGGCAGAAATGAGCTTCTATATTTCTGAAACAACACATTCATTTATCTGACAAACAAAATGCATTTTTTCCATCCTGGTTTCAGATATAAATTAATGTGACTACACTGACAACAGTGACACAGACAGGAAGTAGAAAATAACAGTTTCTACAACTTTTACACAGTTAACTTTGTACAAAAATGTCACAACACAAACACATTAATTCAGAGTTCAGGTGCCTCTCTGAGACTTTACATCCATTTATTTTATAGAAATGAAGCTCACAGTCTCACAGTACTGGGTACCAGCACTTCTCACGGAGAACCTCCAGTCTGGACCTTTTGTTCTGAGGGTCGTTTCTAAAAGTCGTGAAATAATATTCTAAAAATAACTACTTTGATGCCCCAAACGTCCTCTCTCTATCTCCCCCTGGTGGCTGACTGCAGTATAGACTCTCTCTCTCTCTATCTCCCCCTGGTGGCTGACTGCAGTATAGACTCTCTCTCTCTCTATATTCCCCTGGTGGCTGACTGCAGTATAGACTCTCTCTCTCTATATATTCCCCTGGTGGCTGACTAGAGTATAGACTCTCTCTCTCTCTCTCTATCTCCCCCTGGTGGCTGACTGCTGTTTGTTCCTTTTTATCATTAGTTTGGTTTTAATTAGCTATTAGAAGAAGATATAAAAAGAGGGTTTCACGTCATGATTGACAGCTGAGCCCTGCTCGCCGTATGGGCGGGACCTCGATACAGTGGCGCCAGCCCCGATCACTACTGCACAGACTCTGGCTCCGAATTTAGACAGTCATCTTCTGTGGATGGTGTAAACACACAGTTAGCTTAATGCCAATAAAACCGCAAAGAATTATGTGTTCACAGGATCAGTCATTTCCACACCTTCCATTCATTGTCTATGTGAGCAGTGATGCAATGCATTCTGGTACCACAGCGGTGTGTTTCGAGAGACAGAGCGTCACTTTGGCCGCTCCTCATTTGTATAAAGTTGAGGTTGAGGCTACTTTATGTAAATGAGTCTCTGTAAACTCTATACAGTCCACACTGATACTGGTTGTGGATCTAAAGTGAAGATGCAATAACAAAGCATTCGTCCAGTCAGGTGCATCCAGGAAGTGTTTGTAGGAGGGTCCCAAAACGCCCGTGGACACGTACCATTGAGGTTATGTGATGTTCAGGGTACTGTTCAGTAATGGGAAAATCCACATCTCCCTATCATCCACCAGCTGACGAACTCAGAGACCGAAACGTTGACATTAAAGTTGAAACACAGAACAACTGCAGCTGATTTCCTTCATGTTTAATATTAATGTTTATTATTAATGTTTAATATTGATGTTTAATATTAATATTTAATATTAATGTGAGAAGCACCTGAGCTCTGAGTCCATGTGTGAAACGTTTTTAAGGAAGAAAAACAAACGTCCATCAATTCATTTGTCTTCTTAAATATTGGTGTGTTTAAGCTACATGTTCTAGTTGTTCTTAGAGGGTCAGTATACAGTTCTTCTTCTACGAGGATCAATAACACTTTGTACGAAGCTCAGATCTGATGTTATTGATCAGAACTCGTCAATGATTCGCCGTCGAGAGCATCAGGACTCTGGACTCTGGCAGGTCGACCGTCCTGCAGGTGTGTTGGAGGCGTTACAGGTGTGAGCTTCCTACAAAGCGAGGCCCTCTCTATCTGAGGGTTCACTGGTCCCAGTTAAACCAGTTCAACCAGTCTCCATAAGTGCTGTGAGTCCTGATCAGCTGATCGGTCCACGAAGCCGTCGCCGGGCGGCGTTCACTCCTGTACAAACACAAACTCTACTTCTGACACACTACGGCTCGTTTAGGACGATGAGGCGATGTTCCCCGAGGACGCTGCCGTCGTCGTCTCCCTCGGCGAATGCTCCGCCTCTTCCTTGTTGGGGTGGGAGGAGTTATCTGACTTGCTGCGGCTGAACTCCGCTCCCACGATGGGCCCAGTGAACTTGGCGTTGGGCCGGATGCAAGCGGTGCAGCACAGTAGCGTCTTGAGGAACGCGCGGCGCATCTCGTTGCTGGTCAGCGTGTAGATGAGTGGGTTCATGGCGGAGTTGAGGACGGCGAGTGCCAGGAACCACTCAGCCTTGTAGAGGATCGGGCAGCTCAGCGTCTCGCAGGCGGCGTCCAGCAGCAGCAGGATGAAGAGTGGCGCCCAGCAGGCAATGAAGCAGCTCAGGACGATGAT